CATGAATCTGGCTAAAGCTTGAGAAGATAGTGATTGCAGTACATAAACCGGATGACCAACCTTGATAAATGTTCCAAAAAATACGGGATATATAGTGTGCCCGTGCGTTGTTACGGGACAACTAAATTTTTATATTAAAAATACATAGATCGCACAATAAGATAATAATACTGTGAAATTAAATACCCATATTAAAATGACATCAATCCAAAAAGCAAAGTTCGTAAAATTAACACGGCCACGAAGAGCACGGCGTCGCAAGCTCACCGACTCTACTATATAGACCTTTCTAAATTTTTGTTGACTCAGATAATTAACAAATAAGCAATGGCTCGCCACATTTTTGTTGACTATTCACTGTGTTTTTTTAAGAAAACATGTGATGGAGAGACATAGTTAGTTTTTAACTTTTTTTTACATCATCACTAATTCAATTGAAGAGAGAGGACCATAATTTTTTTTAAGAAAACAATGTCTACGAATTGTCACATTCTCAAAAAACTAAACTGGTTGTCATCTTCTTATTTTTGCCGGTAAAATTATCTGAGCTTTATATGTATAACCTGAAAACTGAACTGCTCGTCATCTTTCTATTTTTGCCAGTAAAATTATCTGAGCTTCATATTTATAACCTAGACTCAACATGGCCATGCCAAGACATAAAAAGTTACCCTAGTTAAAATATCATTATATTAAGCTCAATAACATGGCAGCTAATTGTGCTCTGCATAAAGCATCAGTGTATCAATGCCAACCATTGACTCATCCTCTAGAGTTTACAAATGTAAGCCATAGCAATAAATTGCAACAATTCAGGGCAAGTTCAGTGAGAAATCCCTCTTTTTCAAGGTTTAGCTTCAGTGAGAAATCATCATTCTTTTTTCTTGCCTGCCTACATTAGATTGTTCAAAAATAAACAAAGATCAATCCACAGACATTTTGCAGTGCAGAGATAACTTTGTGACCTGGCTTGGTGTTGCTGTTACGGAAACACCAATTCAGCAAGTGAGGTCTAGAGGTGCAAAGGCCTGATGCTAAACATCTGAATACCATCCAGTGTAATAAAAAAATTAGCAAGCCAAAAATTTAGTGGCCATAAAAAAAGTTAACAAGAGAAAAGTATCTAATATATTTTACCAGTAAAGTATCTAACATTGGTACACCAAGCTCATGAATTGAGACTATCAGTAAATAAATAAGGCTTGAGCTACTTGAAACGAGATTGGTACAGACAAAGGGCTAACTATGCTAAAAAACAATGGCATCCAATGTGCAGGCACACAATATCGAAAAAATAGATGATTAACTATATAACAAAAACATCTGCAGCACCATGAACTATGGTTGTGTAACATCATGAACGGCGAGCGATGGAGGACGAGTGACGTCAATCGGTCTACACATGCGAAGACGACGGCTCAGGTGCACGACTTGGGTGGCGTCGAGGTAGCGGCGCGGTAGCCGAGGACAACGGCTCGGGTGCATGGCGCGGACGAACGGCGAGGACTACGGCGCGGACGTCGTGGAGGCGGCGGTGTTTCCATGTGCACGATGCGGGCGAACGGCGAGGACGACATCGTGGAGGCGGCAGTGTACGTGGCGCACGAGGAGGATGACGGCGCGGGCGCACAGACCAGATGATGGAGCAGGTCGTGGAGGGGAGATCGCACGGGGAAGGGAGATCACACGGGGAGGTGATCTTGCGGCGACCTTGCGGTGATCGATGATGTAGCCACAGGTGCATCCACTGGTAGGCAGACGGTGGATGATCCATTGCTGTTGCTTCTCCACTACACGACGAGGAAGTAGGGGCGGCTCGATCGTGCAGGTGCTTGAGGAATGGGGCGCGCGACAATCGTCTCCGTGCAGCGACCAGTGACGCGCTTGAGTCCTACCAAGAAGACGCGTTCGATCGTGCAGCGACGAGCGACGATGGTCTTCCGTGTTTGTAGCGCATGCAAATCAGGGTCAAGAATTTCATATTTGTGGCACGAGGGCGGTATGATCGAGCGTGAGACGTGGGTGATCGCTTTCCTTGTTTGAGGTAATTAGGGTCAAGACTTTCCGTGTTTGTAGCGCATGCAAATCAGGGTCAAGACTTTTCGTGTTTTCTTCGCACCAAAGGACGCAGCATGCGGGAGATGTCGTGGGATCGCAGCGTAGGTAGACGGACGAACCAAAACAAATGTCGCACAAAAAAATATCAACACTTTGTTCTTTTTAGTTGTAGGAGACTAATGATTAAAGTTTAGAATCGTCGATAGATATAATTTTAAAATGCCATTTACCTGTGACAAGACGTTCATCTCACGATCAAAGTTTAGTTGTAGTATCCATCTCATGTTCCAAGGAACAGACAACGCTATTTTTGTTTGTGAAGTTTTCCAATTTTGAGAGGATCAAGTGGAGCATATGCCAACGGTATTGTTGAGACAACATGGGCCGTATACTCGGTGTCGCTGTGATCTAAGTATGGGCCTCTGCGGACCCACCAAGCCCAGTTCTTGTAGGTGGGCTACCGGTGGCGCAACAGGCGAACGCGCGAGGCACCAGCGGGGCTGCGGTAACGGCACGGCTGCAAGGACACGGCGGCACCAGCCGTGGCCGGCGGGGCTCCGTCGCCTCGCCTGTTCGCCTTCGCCAAGCTCCGCGCGCGACCGCCTCCATCGCTGGCTCGTGTCTTCGTTACCTGTGTCTCCCCGCTCCCGCTTCACGCAGCCGTTTTGCTCTCCCAGTCTCCCAGCACGCGCGCCGTCGGCGCCCGGAGCCCTGCCTGCAACGGCGTGCGCCGCCGCGCGTTTGCCACCATGATGCGCGCTCCGCGTTGGCGCAAGCTGACGCTACAACGAGCTCGTCACAAGCCAATGTCCGCACTGGTGCAACGCAGCTTCAGGTATGCCTGCGATCCAACCCCACCCCACCCCACTCGTTGACGGGCTTATGGCATATTCATCAGTATACTGTTAAGCGTTGGTAAAGTAAAAATTGGAACTGAGTATCTAAACCTCAATGGCGGGGATGCGTCCGGGATACCCGGAAGAAGGAACATAATGGCCGCAAACGCTAACTCTCTCGGATGGTCAAGAGCGTATCTTGGTCTCGTCCGGCCCCGAGGGCTCCGTCTCACCCGACCTCAAGGATACGGGATCCGGGTCACCCGGCCCTGAGGGCACGGGCTCCGTCTCGCCCGACCTCAAGGATACGGGATCCGGGTCACCCGACCCTAAGGGTGCGGGCTCCGTCTCGCCCGACCTCAAGGATACGGGATCCGGGTCACCCGGCCCCGAGGGCACGGGCTCCGTCTCGCCCGACCCCGAGGGCGAGAGCCTCGTCACGCTCGACCCTTCGGGCGAGAGCCCCGTCACGTCCGACCCCGAGGGCACGGACTCCGCCTCGCCCAATCCCGAGAGCGCGGGCTCCGTCTCGCCTGACCCCGAGGGCGCGGACTCCGCCACGCCCAATCCCGAGAGCACGGGCTCCGTCTCGCTCGACCTCAAGGATACGGGATCCGGGTCACCCGACCCCAAAGGCGTGGGCTTCGCCTCGCCCGACCCCGAGGGCACGAGCTTCGCCTCGCTCGACCCCCGACGGCGCGGGCTCCCCCTCGCCCCACGAAGGTCCGTACCGCCCCCAACCACTACGGATCTGAAAGTACGAGTCCAGGGTCAAACTTCTGACGCCAGAAGGGGAGCGGGCGCGTCTTTGACGTGACCTGCGGCCACGACGGGCCACGACTGAGGACGCACGTCACCAACAGCATCGGGTGTGCCAGCGCTGTACTACCTACTCCCTGTACGGCCTCAGGCGAAGACGTCAACGAGCCATACCGTCCGCTGGGACGGGATGGAGCGCCACGACTGGCTGACGACGCCCGCGTACGGCGTCAGTGACGAACAGGGCCACGACATGGAGCAGTCTCCGTCGTTATCTACAGAGCCGGCGGGACCTGCGTAAAGGAGATAGAAGACATTGCAATCCCATAAGTCTTCCTCTCCTCGTCTCTTTCTCTCTCTCCGATGTAACCTACATCTCCCCCTTCACCTATAAAAGGGGAAGCAAGGCACCCCACGGAGGAGGAAATTCCAACATGCACATCTAACACGTCTGAGCGGCTTAGGCACTCGACAGTAGACAAAGAGCTCAACCAAACTCACTCTTTTCATCAGAGACTTGAGACCTTCTTTCTCTTTCGCCTGTTTGTAACCCCTGCTACAAACTAAGTGCCGATAACACAAGAAGTAGCAGACTAGACGTAGGAACGTTCCGTCCGAACCAGTATAAATATTTGTGTCCTCCGAGCACAACCATTCAGGCCAAACGCGCAAACTAGAAATTTACTAGCCGGTGATTCGAAACACCGACCGGATGATTGCTGGCATAGTGGATTCCATTTGTCAACAGAATTCTTCATAGAAAATTACTTTTGAAAAAGTGCGTAGAAAGTTACTAGAAACTCAGCCTACAGATTTGACTTCTGATAAAGTGCAGCCAATGATGGATCTGGTGATAGTTTTCATACGCCTTTGCAATCAATTACAAAAGGCTCCAAGATGAGGGAAGTTTAAATATAAACTCCAATGCATGGTGAGTTTGCAGGGGACTGACTAATCTGAACCAAAACTGAGGAAGAACGAAGACAATCCTGTAATCTGTCATGAACAGCAAAAATGTGGCAAAAATTCTTTACTAGCCGTGTTACCTTCCTGTGCGAATTTGGATTGAAAACTGCAAATCTGAATATTTCTTGAGCCTTCCTTCTCAGTCTCAGGTAGTATGTTGACGAATCCGATAAAAAGATAAGGCAAAACGAATAAATTAATTAATACAGCAGTCCCCTTAGTAGCGAATTGAATGCACAAGCCACTGAATATGAGTATATGACTACCTCCAGGAAGTGTTTGAGCCCTATATATGACACATAAGAAAAATGGCAATGGTCTCCTTACTGCAAAAATTCACAGCTAGAATGAAGCCTTTACATCTTTCACTGACTTTCAAATTTAGAGGCAGAACGGGAGGCGAGGGCGACTCTGACTGCGGATGTAGCGCACCAGGTCATCGCTATAGTTCTTGTGGTAAACAATGGTGTCGCTCAGCTGCTTGATGGCTTCTCTCTTCTGCTGCCCTCTAGCTGCTAGCTCGTCTTCTTTCTCGTCCACTGTCTTCTTGAGCTGGAGCATCTTTGCCTCTGCCTCAGCCGCACTCTTCACCATTTCTGATACCACCATTTCTTTCTCTTTCAACCTAATAGCCAGCTCATTGTTCACATTGGCAAGTTTCTTCTGTTCATTAAGATGATCATGTACCTTCTTCCTCAGGACTTTAAGCTCGTCACTACATGCAGATGAGCGGTCAATGAAGAGCAAAAAATTCAGATTGAAGACTGTTTCTAGCTCATCCAGTTTGTCAGCCCATTTAGAGACCCCTGATTCAGCATGTTCTTTAACTTGCAGGAGAGTTCCTTCCAGCAAGCTGACTCTCCCTGAAAACTGCTGTACTGATTGTTCAAGATGACGGATCTCTGCCCGCAACACTTCCACTGCCGCTGCATATCTCTCTTCTTTGCATTTGCTTTCTGCCTCGGTAACTTTAAGCTTCTGCTTTGCTAGCTGGAGCTGAACTTCAAGGTCTTGGACATGCTTTTGTAGCTTAATATTCTCCTTATTTGCAGACAACTTCTCTTCTTCCAGAAGCCGATGTTTGTCCACAGTTTCTGTGTTTTTCTGCTCTAGCTGATCTATCTGCTCCATCTGACTCCTCTTAAGTATCTCAAGATGTGATGCCCTTGTGGACACCTCATCATATGCATACTGAAGTCTCTGACAGCTACCAACAGCCCCTCTAAGGCTCTGGTGGAGAATCTTCAGTCCTGCCTCATGATGAGAAATTTTTTGTGTAACTCTATCTTCAAATCCTGCCAAAAATGACATATTTTCTGTGCACGCTTCAATCATAATTTTCAGATCCTTCTCCAACTTAGTCTTTTGAGAAGACAATAGATTGATTGTTTTCCCCAGATCTTTTGTTTTTGTACTCATGCCATCAAGTTGACAAGCTGCTTCGGCCTGGGCCTTCTCAAGATTATCATGTAGGTTAGACACTTTCAACATTGCCTCTTCCAACTGCTTGTCCAAAGTGGAAGTGTTTTCTAGCTGGACTGAAAGCTCCTCTTTCAATCGTATCACCTCATTCTCAATATTTTGCACTGAAGTCTCTGACTGCTTCAGTTGTGTTAGCACTGCATCCTTCTCTTCTTGTATTGCCTTCAACTCATCCTGCATCTCCGCCTTGGCTTGTTGTGATTGCTCAGTCAAAGTATAGATGTTCTTATGTAACTCATCATTAGCTTGCTGTAGAGTTGAAATGTTCTCAGTCTGCTTTTCAACCACAATCTCAAGATTCTTGACAGAAGCCTGAGACGTCTGTAACTCCAATAGAGATGTGTCCCTCTCTGCACGTAGGTCTGAAATTTCAGCATGCAGATTGCTCCTGGCTTCTTCAAACTGCTTGTCCAAGATGGAATTGTTTTCTAGCTGGACGGAAAGTTCCTGTTTCAGTCGTGTCACCTCATTCTCAAAATCTTGTATTGAAATCTCTGACTGCCTTAGTTGTGATAGTGCTGTATCCTTCTCTTCTTGTATTGCCGCTACCTCCTTATGCAGCTCAGCCTTGGCTTGTTCTGCTTGCTCTGTCAAGGTAGATATTTTATTGTGTAACTTATCATTAGCTTGTTCTAGCGTTAAAATGTTCTCACTTTGCTTTTCTAGCACACTCTCTAAGTTCCTGACGGAAATCTGAGACATCTGTAACTCGGATAGAGCTGTGTCCTTCTCTGCACGTACTTCTGCAATTTCAGCATGCAAACTGCTCCTGACCTCCTCCAATTGCTTCTCCAAGACAGAAATGTTATTCTTCATATCTTCATTAGCATGATGCAAGATTGAGGTTTGCTCTTTTCCTTGCTCCAACTCAATTCTAAGGTTCTTGATACAACCATCGGACTGCTGTAACTCTGAAATAATCTTGTTCTTTTCATCTTGTAATGCTAAAATTTCAGCATAGTGACTAACCTTCGCCTCTTCCGATTGCATCTCTAGGTTGGAATTGCTATTTTGCAAGTCTTCATGAGCAAGCTGCAGAACAGAAATTTGTTCTCTTTGCTGCTCTAACTGGACTTCTAGGGTCTTGAGTGAATCATTTGACTGCTGTAAGCTATTGATGGCCTCTTCCTTCTCTCCTTGTAATGCAATGATCTCCACTTGCAGATTAGTCCTAGTTTCTTCCAGTTGCTTGTGCAAGCTATAATTTTTATCCTGCATTTCTTCATTTGCTTGCTGGATAACTGAAATTTGGTTGCGCTGCTGTTCCAAGTCAATCTGAAGATTCTTGATTTGAGCCTCAGATTCTTGTAACTGAGCGAGTGCTACATTTTTCTCCTGTTGAAGTACCGTAACCTCATTATACAGATCGGTCTTTGCTGCTTTGAGGTCTTTGTTGACCTCCTGAAGATTTGAAATCTCTTGTACTTGCTGTTCTAACATGCTCTGGAGATTAACTATAGAAGCAACAGCTTCATTCTTTTGTCCTTGTACTTCTACAATCTCATTATGCAGGTTAGAATTTGCCAGCTCCAGGTTTTCATTAGTCTTCTGCATATCTGAAATCCTATCAAGTTGCTGTGACAGATCGTTCTCAAGATTCATCAAAGAAGCCTCTAGCCGCTCTATCTCTGATGTGGCAGAATTCTTCTCCTTCCGTAGCTCCGCAATATGACTATTGAGAACACTTTTTGTTGACTCCAGTTCCTTTTCTAGATCCTTAACATTAGACTGTGCCTCCTTTAACTCACTCAAGTACATAGAATTTTCTGATGTTAGCCTTTCTTTTTCTTCTGCTGCAGTACTACGTTCCTTGTCCAGATTGTTCGTTATCTCTGTGGTCTCAGCCTTCAGGCCATCTATTTCCACCCTCAGTTGCTCGAGTTCTCTTTCAGCTGAATGATTTTCTGTGGTCAATGATTCATTTTCAGCTTTGGCTTCCGCAATGGTTGCCTTCAGTTGAGAGCACTCATTATCTAAGTTATGATGAAGTCTTTTCAGGTTATCATGCTCCACCGACAGCATCAGGTTATGGTTCTTCACGTTCTGGTTTTCTTCAAACAAGATCTGCACCTCTTTCTCAGCCTTCAGGGACTTCTCTAGCTCTGATGCCATGACGCTGCATTTATCCACTGTATCTTTCAGCTGTTTCTTCAGATCTTCCATCTCCTTCTTCATGTCTACAATTGACATCTTCAGGTTATCTCTCTCTTCTTCAATAGTTTGCATCTCACTAGACAATGTTTTGACCTCATTCTCCTTAGATTTTATGATGTTAAGCAAGTCTCCTTCCTCCCTCTTTGCAGTTTCAACTAATGATTTCAGATTCTCATTCTCAGATGACAAATTTGCAACCTCTAAACTTAACTCTCCTCTTGTAGCTTCTTTATCCTTGATTGCTTTTTCTAGTAGCTGCTTCAGATCAGATATTTCCTTGGCTTGTTCTTCTGTACTTTGTTTTAGCTTCTCATTTTCTGCTTCCATGCTATGATGCTCATCAAGCTTACGGTTCAGGCCATTTTCTTCATTCAACACTACTTTTGGTGTAGTTACATTATTGTCTGATCTGTCGCCTTCCACGTCTGAATCAGATGAATCTGAACCTGAGGAACTGTGGCCAACAGTTTCTAGCTTGCTAATTAGCTGTTTGTAGTGCTTGTGAAGGTATTGATAGTCCTCATGGAAGCCCTTCACAAGGGAAGATAGCTTTGATTTCTTGACGGGATTTCCAGAATCATCTTGTTCATTCTCAGTCTGTTCGTTCTCCTCTCCTATCATTCTTAAAATGTTCTCCACATTTTCATCAACATCTAAAAAAACAAAATAACACTATTGTTTTCAGACAATGGCTTGCTAGAAACAGGAGAGCCATTAGTTGAAGAACAAGGCAGAGTTCTTCTAAAACAATGCGATTTTAGCTATATCAAAAGCATTTTAACGATGAAAATTGGACACATATTTGTTTCAAAAAAATGAAAACTGGACATGTATGACTCAGGCATGTTAATGTGGTATTGTAATCACATTGAGATCAGCCAAACAGAATGGCAAAAAAAACAGTACATAAGTAGGAATATTCTCTTGACGCGAAACAATTTCATTTATAAAGGCACATTGAGATCCCTTTATGTACATAAAAATTCATTTGAGTAAATATTAATCTTGAATTAAGAGAATACCCTTTTTGCTCTCTAAAAGATGCTTGGACTTTCTAATTTTGTGTTTCTTCGTCATGCTGAAGTTCTTGTATCCACAAGCTTTAGCTTTACTATTTCTTTGCAGAAAATCTTTCTCAGACCAAATTGATCATAATTGAGGGCATATCATGCTGCAACTCCTGATTAGCTTTGCTCCTGAATGTGTAAAAAGGAAAGGAAAACAATGAGTAGGAAGTCATCCGTGCATAATATCTCATCTAGAATAGCAAAAAGATATCCAAAAGATCAAGAAAACAAATATAGCTTTTTCAATGGAAATGGTTTAACTAGTTAATGACAGAAAATATTTTTTTTGAACGTAATTAATGATTGAAAATACTCTCTGCACACATAGCTGAATAAGTGTAAATTGGAAAAGATTGAACGTCTTTGAAGGGGTGTATATCACCAAGACCAAGTTAGCAAAATTGGAGAGTTGAATGTACAGGTATATTTCCAGAATGCACAAAGGCATTAATTTGTGAAGCTCGTATGCAGAATTTGGAGCCAAAATTAGTAGCACCGGTAAAGCTATTTTGACGCTGATGCTATTGCACTAAGACCAAGTAGAATGTCAAACATTTCAAGTATGGAATTACATTTGCAGTTTGGATCTTGGCAAATCATGGTTGACAGAAGAAAAGAAACTTTTATGAACTACCACAGCATTACCATTAACAGCATATATTAAGACTAAGGTATTCTTTTTTAGATAATACTGATTACTTGTGAAAGACACTTTGGAAGTTCATTGCACTAGCAATATAGTGGCATATATCTGTTGTCTTATGTTAGCATGGACAGTACTACTAAATAACCAGATGGATCTATAGAGATGTTTATAATGTACTCATACAGATATTGTAGCCTGTGAGAAGCATGGACATGTTCATCTTCTATGCCTACAAGGACATCTCAAAACCCCAGTCTGACTGAGCTAAATTGCAATCTGGATGAGTACATTATAAACATTTTATCCATTTTCATCTACCGAGTCTCGTCATCGCCCAACCTCTTGGGCAGCATAACTGCGTAAGTTGTCAAAAAAATGCGTAAGTTCAGATGCATATTTGAAAGGGTACCCTATTTGAAATGCCATATGGGTCGTGCTGAGCATGAGCCCAGTATATTGTTCATGGCATACCAGTACATACTGATATGCGAGCTGATTGGGGAAAGACCAGCGCCATATGGCAAGTAGTATTTTGTCTTATGAAATCATCAACCAGTGGTAACAAACATGCGGGTCCCAGCTAGCGAAGGAATATTCAGAAAACTAATGCATGAACACAGAGAGGAAGTTAACGAGTGACGACTGACAAGTGCCAACCACTCCGCAGATATAATCACATATCCAGGAAGGAAGAAAAACATGGAAGAGGCAACGAAGGCTAAGACTTTGGAACACCGGTGTAATCTTAAGCTTCTGCAACGATCCATGTCAGCTGCCACATCAGAACGTGCAGGCCCACAAGGCCACAACGATCCATCCAAGATCGCACACGCCCGCACACATTCCTACAGAAATTTCTAGAGTACCGCAAGAGCAAGAACATCACAGCAGCCCACATAATCGGGGAAACAAGAAACCAGATAAAAACTGAGAAAATAAAGAGACATACCGCCGGAATGTCGCCTCTCCAGCTCTTCTCTATAACTTCCTCCCTCGCTTGTTGAACCCGAAACAAGATCTGAAGAAATGAAAAGAAAAAGCAAAGCATGATCAGAGATCGCAAACCGGTTGCAAGCACAGCAACCTATCAGATCAAATCAACTCAGGGGAACAGAAGCCAACGGCAACAGATGGAAATCAAAATCCAGACCAAGACACGGGAGGAGGAGGAGGTTAACTGAAACTGAAGGGATGGGTCGCGTGCTCAGCCAGAACCTGATCTAGAGAGCGGAGGTTTCTTCTCCACTGATGATGTGCGGGGAGCGTTAGAAACGCACACTAGCGAGCAAGCAAAACAAACATGGTCTTGTACTCTTGTCCTTTTGGAGACTCTGTAGCATCTACCTGACGCCTAGAAAGCCCTCGGTTTGGGTACCTTATTACGAGAACGCCACCTAACCGAAACAGCGCTCCCGCCACTGCGAGCGCGAGGGCGGGAGATACGGCCACCCCCGAAGCGCGGACAGGTCCAGCGTGAAGTGGCTGCCATGCGGAGCCCGCGAGGGGCGTGGTCCGAGCTGGCGAGGCGTGGGAGCCAGCTGGGCAGCGCGGCCGGCTTTTTGTCTCGTCCGCGCGCTGACGCGTCGGGAGTTTTGTCCATGAGTTCCCGCCTTAACGCTAGGGGAGCCAGGATGTTCTGTGGCCATGTTTCAGGATTGGTTGGATCTGCTAGTAACGCCTTGTTTAATTGAACCCTAAAGTTTAAAAAGTTGCTACAGTACCTGTCACATCGAATGTTTGCGGCCCATGCATGAAGCATTAAATGTAAACAAAAATAAAAACTAATTACACAGTTTGGTGGGAAATTGCGAGACGAACGTTTTGAGCCTAATTAGTCCATGTTTGAACACTATTTGCCAAATAAAAACGAACGTGCTACAGTAGCCCCAAAATCCAAATTCACCCAACTAAACCAGGGCTAACTCGCTGGCTAAAGCTAACTTCTAGTTGTTGTAGTCAGGCCTTAGCTAAGCCGCTTGAGAAGCCTGAGCCAGGCCCCGGAAAAACGAGGTGGCCAGGCTTGGCTAATCCGCCGCCCAAGTCTCGTCACCGCCCGCTCTCGGTTCTCCGCGCTCCTCCGCTCGTCGGTCCACCGCTTCTCCGGTCGCACTCCTCTGCTGCTCGGCGTGCTCGGCGGCTCGCTGCTCCGCTGGCCGCGCTCGCCCACGCCAGAGTCTCCCCAAGGTCCAGCACGCTCAGTGGCCCCCCTCGTTCGGTGGCCGGGCTGGGCAGCAGCAACACGCGCGCGGCGCTGGTCCGCAGCCGCGGCCAAAGGCAGCGCAGGGTCCACGCGGGCTCGGGCGAGAAGCAGCCACGCAGTGCTGCCGGCGTGCAGCAGCTGCTCCCGCGAGAAAGCGCGCAAGGGTCGGGCTGGGAAGCTGCGGGCGCGAGGCCGGTTCGCCGAGGCTGGGGGTGCGCACGGCGCGCTCACCCGGGCATGGCCAGCGTCGGTAGCATGTCCGACCGGAAAATGAAGAAGCTCGAAGCACGTTCTTGGAGGTCAGCCGGAATCCTCGCCGGATAAGAGAGAGAAAACAATGATTTGATCATACGGTCATGGATTCAAGAAAAGGAGGACAGTAAGGTGAAGAGAACGATGAGAGGTACCTTGTGGTGGTGGTGGTTGACGCCAGAAAGCGACGGCTCGGTCGGAAAAAGCTCGCCGGCGTCTCCAGCGTTGGTCTTCCTAAGGTGCCGTGCTGCTGTGCTCGGCGTGCTCCCTTTGCCAGCAGGAAGAGCTCTTTCTGCTGCCATGCTCGCCGGGGTGCTGCACGCCACCACCTGTTTGACAAAATTCCTCAAAGAGGATATAGGAGAAGAGGTGATTCTATGCAAACTAAACCAAGCAACTAAATAAATCATTTGCTATCCAGCTTAGACAATACAGATAACCAAATAATTAGGGACTAACTTGCTGAGGACAGGCTAAAGCTGTCTAGGCTCAAAAACTAGCCAAGTTAGAAATAGATCAGGAAACCAAACACACCCATAGTGTTTGGTTCAACAAAACAGATATCGTTACTGTTGTTTGATTGGACTCATCGCGATATCAGGAACCTGTAATCCAGTAACAGACTATTCAATTCTAATCCCGGCCGTCCCCGAGTGTTATGTTGGAACCAGCCGGCCCGGCTCATTAAGAGCCTGCGCTCCCACAAGTCCCAGGTCCACCGGAGCTGACAACATATAAGGCATTTGCTCAACCCAAAAGACTAACCTGATAGGTGAGGGTTCTCCCGCCTTATATATTATGCTCCCCCACCATCGCTACACGATGTGGGGCTAAACCCCAACAATTTTTATCAGGTTTAGCTTTTCACATCGGGGTGCCCCCCGCCACATGTGACGCTCAAGATTTTTTTATCGGGTTTAGCTTTTCTAACCATGGGCTCTGATACCAATTGTTAGAACCGGTGGTGACCACCGAATTCTCGATCTTGGGCTGGCTTGCAGCCGGCCCGGCTCGTTACCAGCCTGCGCTCCCACAGGTCCCAGTTCCACCGGAGCTGACAACATATAAGGCCTTTGAATCTTACTTAACCCAAAAAACTAGTCTGATAGATAAGGGTTCTTCCGCCTTACATGTTGTGCTTCTCAGCCACGACGTGGGACTGACCCCCAACACTTTATCCGTGATACCGCCGCTGCCGCTGTAGGACCCGACTCCCGAGCGCTTCTTCTTCATCGCGTCATCGCGTCGCGATTCCAAAGACGCGCAGCCATGGTCGACGAGGCGCTTCAAGATCCGCATCAACTCCTCCCTCGCGTGCTCCACGGTCCAACATGCTGCTCCCCACGAACTCGGCGTCCCCGAGAGGTTCGTCCTCCCCACCCCCGCTGGGGACAAGATCGGGTTCGGATTCAACGCTGCCGCTGCCGCAGTCACCACCGTCCCTGTGGTCGTGCACATGGCCGTTAAGGAGGAGGAGGTGGTCCTCGTGACGCCTAATGCCGCGCCTGGCAGCACCGCTGCCGTCGGAATAACTACCGCTTCGATGACGACGAAGACATGGAGCTGCTCAGCTGCAGCGCCGTGCGCCGGAGCAGCAAGCAACCAGTGCGTGCTGCAGGGCTGCGGCGGGAGGGAGGTGGTGGATCTCCAGCACCCGGTTCGTCGCTGGGGAGCGGACTCCTCGTCTTGCGTTCGTCACTCCCTGAAGGGCTGAAGATTCGTCGCTCAACGTTCATCATCGTTTGGTGTGCAACTGCAGCTCGTCGTGCACTCAGCTGATTACGTTACCAAGCAAATCCAAACAAAGACCGTGATCTGATTCATTGTTTACGGTTCCAGTGTCATTCGATTTCATTACCATTTGCGTTTACATTTGTCCAACCAAACAGCATCTTAGTTAGATAACTATTACGTGGCTTTAGCCAGGTGTTATTTAGATCCAGTAGCTAAAAAATAGATGCATTAGTTGTTTTATATCTATAATGTCCTTTCTTTTCTATAATTCTATGTGTTATTAATAGAATATGTGGACAGATGTAAATGGGAGAACTAAAGTGTAATTTTGTAATCTATTAGATGTTATTAGCTAGGTTAGAGATAACCAGTGGAATACTCCCCTATTCGGTTTTTAAAGTCTGGAAAAGTTTTTAGCAACAATTTACGCATTGTTGCTTTTTCTTGAGCGTGTGTGCCTTGCATGGCTACCTGCAGCATTAATGTCTGCCTTCTAGGTAATTAGCGACGGGCAACAAATTAATAAGAAGGAAGTAGATGATTGGATACAACTATGCCAAATTGGTCGTGGACGAGGAGGATAGAGGATTGGTGAGGTGAGAGAGGTGTGACATGAGAGTCGTTTGAATGTGTTGCGGCTGCTCATCTTGCCATAAGTAGACATATTGTCTCGGTGAAGCGTCCATATACGGTGATCATTAACGAAATAATAGTGTTGCCAATCATTAACGAAAAAAGATAGTGTTGTTAGCTAGGTGCATAGCTCACAATCATTTGAGTTATTCGCCCTGTTCTGTAACACCGTGCACTTCAGCAGTACTTTTCAGCGAATGAACGGTGTTTTTCTCTCACAAAAAATCAACATAAGCAACAACATAAGCCAAGTTTCAGCGAAACAAACAGGGCCATTAGCTGAGTCCGCTTAAAACCACTCCTGCTAAATTTTTACTGTTAAGTGTTAGTTGGATGGATCTAGATATGATCTAAAGCACAGTTGCGGTAGCTCTAGCAATAAGAGCTAGCGCCACTTCTAGAATTTTTTAATACAAATGAAATAGTTAATTATATATGAAATTGCAACCTTCCAAAAACAGGCCCATTGGAACGATCCTGGGATCAGGAGGTGAGATGGATGGAGAGCACTGGACACCGAACAGCATTCTGTGCTACTCTGTTACTTGTGGCACAGAGAGAATCATTGTTCAATCAGCATGTTCGCTCGTTGATTTCAGCTAGAGCTTATCAGATATGATACAATATTTTTCTTTCACAACAAACCAGCATCAGCCGGGCTTATCAGCCTAGAAGCCAACCAGCGAACAGGCTGAATGCTTGTGTTGCACCAGTGTCCAGTGGGACCTGACGAGTGACGAGGACGGCCTCCTTCATTTTCGTCCAGATGGTGCTCTGGGTTTTGCTTCTGTGTTGTCTCCCCCATAGGGAAGCTTTGTTGGTTTCAGCTTCATCTTCTCCATAGAATTGCTCAATTGCTATAGTTGGCCGCTGCGTTACGGCTTGTCAATCGACGCAATTGACAAATTAAAACGCTTAAAGTTACGGAGACCAGTAACGGGATGACATTAGATTAATCTCGTGAAACCATGTGTATATCTGTTGCAGTTGCATGATGACGAAGCGCATGTAGCAGTTAAGCGTCTGATGGGAACACAACATTTTTTGTCTCTCAACCCCTTATTTAGTTGGGTGAATTTGGATTTTAGGGCTACTATAGCACGTTCGTTTTTATTTGGCAAATAGTGTTTAAACATGGACTAATTATGCTCAAAACGTTCGTCTCGCAATTTCCCACCAAACTGTGCAATTAGTTTTTATTTTCGTCTACCTTTAATGCTCCATGCATGGGCCGCAAACATTTGATGTGACAGGTACTGTAGCAAATTTTTTGAACTTTGGAGTCCAACTAAACAAGACGTTTATTTACTTGTAGCCCCTAGATGGCTGATAGCAACAGTTTGTAGGCACATGACGAGATGCATGGGACTGATGTGGACAATTTGGATGAGTGTAAAGACTAAATTTCTGGAATCAACTGAACCGAGACGCCCAATCAGTTCCGTGAAACGTTTGGGCTGCTTGCAACGTACTAGAAAATGTAGCGAAATGCCATTTGTATACCATGTAGAATTTTGAGGGCAGGAATAACCAGGCATGCGCATGCTTGGGATTTCTCAAAATTTCTGCAACTTGAGAGCTATCGGTGCAGAGTTGATCACCCGTTCGGCTATACTACTTTCAGCTTATTTCAGCTTATTCTTTCACACAAAATACTATTCAATCATCCAGAAAAATCCAAAATCTACTGTTCTACCTACCTATCAGCGTGATATTCTCTGGGTGGAGGAATGCCGGTGGAAAAGAGAATATTCCAATACTGCCCACTACCGATCCAAATACTGCACCGGATCCAAATATTCCTTCCGATCCAGCTGATGAGGTCCAGATAGATCTAGCCACTGCCGATCGATCGCGCAGAGCAGGGTGTGGGTTATGACTTGTGAGTGGCCTGCAACGGAACGTCGACGGAGCATGTGACCGGGACCTGCTGTGCTGTGAGGGGCTCCGTTGCCTCCACTCTACGGGGGTGCGAGAAAAGACAGCCCTTGTGCGAGTGCGAGTGCGAGCGAGTAGCGACCCCGTCCGCCGCCTCTACTGGCATCTACTAGTACTCCCATTATTTTTGTTGGCACTCTCATTTGTTGTGCGTGGACGGTGGGCCGTAATCCCATCCCGTAAGGTTTCGGCCCGTGTCGTGGGCCGACCTGGTACTTAAAAAGGGTTTAGAAAAAAAATCCACGTTACCTCCTTCAACTTTTGTAAAAGTCTATTTTTCCTCCCTGTACTCTAAAGCCGGGTAAACCACCTCTCAGAACTTTTAAAACCGTTCGTTTTACCTTCCTAACCGGTATAAGCGGTTTTGAAACGAGGTTTTGTCTTTCTCTTTTTTATTTATTTCAATTGAGTCTTTGAAAAATAATAATAAAACATAGAAAATTATAAAATGAAAAATCTAATTTTGTTAGACTCCACATTATTTTTTAAGGATTCAGCCGAAATAAATAAAAAAGAAAAAGACAAAATCGTCTTTGAAAACCGCTTATAACAGGTCAGGGAGGTAAAACGAACGGTTTTAAAAGTTCAGGGGTGGTTTACCTGGTTTTAAAGTTTAGGGGAGAAAAATAAACTTTAGCAAAAATTGAAGGAGGTAATGTGGATTTTTTCTAAAGGCTTATTGACATCCCATGAATCAAAAGACCTAGCGCAATAAATTAGGGCCATCATAGGTGCAAGACTGAAAGTAGTAAGGGGCTACGAGAGTCCCTTCGGTGCAGCTCCAGACTCGAGATCTCTAAAATGATTGAAATATTTATACTTAATCTTGACTATGAACGAAATGTACTTGATATGTCTCTAGCTCTAGATTCAAAATTTTCTAGCTACAAATAACCAGCTCTAGGAAAATCAAAAGATTTTTTTTAGAGCTAGAGCTCTGTCAAACATGACCTAGGTATATTTTTATCGGCATGGCTAGGGCTCAGACGTCCAGACAGACGCGAGCATCCAGACGCCCGCGCAGCCCACCCTAATTCACAAGAAATGTTATGTAAGTTTACAGCTAATTGATGCACAAGCTTTGAAAACTTTATGAGAAAAGAAAACGAACCATGTATTAATGACAAAAAAAAAATGTGCTAGCAACTACTATATCAGTGTATTGATACTAAGCTATATATGTACAACCAGCATTCAGCCTGTTCACCTGCTCGTATTTGGCTTATAAGTCATAGTTTATCAGCCAACGAACAATATTTTTCTCTCACATCAAACCAATCAATAGTACTTTCAACCATGGCTTATAAGCCAACCCAGCCCAAACGAACAGGGCGAATTATTATGCATACTTTTAGACAACGTCAGTTGGTTCCGGCTGCACAATTTTTATCCGGATTTATGGTTTGCAGTCTTGACTGAGCAAAACTCCCAATCACAGTGCTCATGTCGGTTAATTTTTAATCTTTTTATCTGTGTATGTGTATACTAAGCAATTTAAAGGAAAATTGTTTGAGATTTTTTTATGATAATATTTCTAAATGAGAAGTTCTCAAAGAAAACCTTTTGATGAAAAGTTTTTTAAAAAAAAAATCTTGAGGGAGACAAAAATTAAAAAAAAACAAAAAAAAAGAAATGTTAGTAATCCTTGTAGGCTTAGCTATAGAAGGATTTTGTCGGTTGTTGTAGGAGTGCCGCATGTGCACCAAATAGCTAGAGAAGTGTCTTTCAAAAAAAAAGCTAGAGAAGTGTTTTTGCTATAAAAAATAGAACGCCAACTATAGAATCGGAAGTTGTAGTACATTTTGTAATCCTTGTAGGCTTAGCTATAGAATCGGAAGTTGTAGTACATTTTGTAGCATTTTGACTTTATTTTTAGCTTTTAGCTTTTCGAGTTTTTTTAAATGAGTGCCAATATAAAGATGTTTCACAACCTTTTCAAGGAGACAAAGAAAAAAGAGATAGGTTTCTTGTTTCCACCAAACAAGTTACAACATACATACTATCTCCATCTCAAAATATCTGTCATTTTCATTTTTCACAAAATATATATTAAAAAATATTAATATTTATGGTACATAATTAATATCATTCAAAAGATCTTTAAATCAAGTTTTTAATAAATTTATTTAAAGATACAAATATTGCACGTATTTTCTATAAATCGGGTCAAACTTGTGGCACAGAAATAAAAAACGACAGATAATTTTGGGACAGAGGGAGTATAACTTATATCAACTTTTACAACTCAGAGCTGAACAAAATAGACACTTTGTAGGCCTTGTTTAGCTTCTTCCTCTAAAGTTTACTCCCTATCCAATCGAATGTTTGACATATGCATAGATTATTAAATATAGACTAAAAATAACTAATTATATAGTTTGCGACTAATTTACGAGATGAATCTTTTAAGCCTAATTAGTCCATGATTTGACAATTAGGTGCTACAGTACACATATGCTAATAACAGATTAATTAGGTTTAATAAATTTATCTCGCGGATTACCAATAAATTCTATAATTTATTTTTTATTAGTATCTGAACAGCTTATGCGATACTCTCGTATAACATCCGATGTGAGACTCATTTTACATCCTAAATTTAAACAAAACCTTAACGCTGTCATAGTCATAGCGCCATAAATGTTGCTGTTCGGCTGGCATTTCAATATGTCTTGTCTACGGTAGCTCTAGAGTAACACGTGAGAAAGGCGACAGCCAGCAGCAGCTGCGGCTGCAAAAAGGGCGGGTAGATGAGAAGTATTAAATATAGATTAATTATAAAATTAAATTTTAATCTATTAATTCTTAATTAGTATATTATTTATTTATATAATGCTACAGTAAACATATACTAATAATAAATTAATTAGGTTTAATATATTTGTCTCATAAATTAGTTACGGCTTACACAATTAGTTTTATAATTAGTTTATATTTAGTCCTGACATCTAAACATCTGATATGATAGGAAAGTTTAGGCCTGACATTGAGACACCCTTGGGCAGGCCCAACACGGGCTAAGGCTGTCTCCAACCGGAGACCTATTGCGGAACATAAACCTAAAATGAGTCTTCAACATAATACCTATAGTATTTAACAGAGTATCTATATGGAAGACCCATTTTAGGTGCTAGAAGAGGCATAACCCAAATCTGAGTATCCTCTCTCTTCTGAAGACTCATTTGTAGAAAGAGTTGCCTTTTAGATCTTGTTGTTGAAGAAAACTAAAAAAATAGACGTTATCAAAGAACAAATAAATCTTATATTTTAGATCATAATCGTTGGAGACACTCTAACGAAACGAGTTTGTTAGCCTGAAGAAAAAGTTGAAGGGTCCGGACTCCCAAGTGCCCAATGCAAACTCTCAGAACCATACTGACATCTCTCCTTCCTTCGAGCATGTTCGTTGGTTGGTTTTTAAGCTGATAAGTTTGATTTGTGCTGATTTATTATGAGAGTAAAGCATGCTCATTGGTTTTTAGCCTAATAAGTTTAACTGATGCTAATTTGTTGTGAGAGTAAAATACTATTGACTAGTTGATAAACGCTGAAATCAACAAGCCAACAAGCTATTTAGCTTTTTCTGACGCTTTGCAAAGCAGGCCACGCCATCCTGCAGCTGCCCAACGCGCTCCGGACTGCTGCCCACAGCGACGGAGCCAGCGGTGGGGTTAGCCCCCTACCGATCTTGCCACGTGGAGCCCCTCTAAACTATTCCTTAAATATGTATATATGTATTAGGTAGAAAAGACTAAAATTAAAAAAATATAAAAAAACTTTTATTCTTTTGTTCAGCTCCTCCTAACTTTTTTTTTCTTCGTCCCTAGCTGCCCAACGTGCTCCGAACCGCTGCCTGCTACTTTTGTCAGGTGAAGCCTTTGTATCTTTTGCAAGAGACACTGAGGTGCTGCGGGGGTACAATACACCGTGATATGGACGACGGGTGCCGATGTGGCCTCTGAGACAGTACTCCGTGCTGAAGCGTTGGGAAGCCCTTGCGTAGAATGGCAGCGCTTCTGCAGCGTTTGCAGATGTGCTTTTGAAAAGAACAAAAGGCCAGTAGTACCAGTCATTCGGGCCTTGTTTAGATCGATCTCAAAATTTCTAAGTTTTTTCACTTTCTTTCCATCACATCAATTTTTAGACATATGTATGGAGAATTAAATGTAGGTAAAAAAATAACTAATTACACAGTTTGGTTGTAAATCACAAGACGAATCTTTTGAGCCTAGTTAGTCCATGATCAAACAAAATTTATCAAATACAAACTAAACATGTTACAGCGTCCAAATTACAAGGTCACGGACGGAAACTCGCACCACGGTTCAGTCCCAGTAGGAGCAGTAGCACTAGTACTACGACCGCTGCCTCCGTTCCTACTCCGTATTCCTGTTCGCTTTGATTCCTCGAAGCAATCGAGGAGGCGAAGCGAAACCGCCAGTCACCCACTTCTCCGCTGGAACGGGACTCGGGAGCACGTCCCTCCACCTCCACCAACACCGCCCCAGCACCTCAACCATCGAGGCCAAAAACCCCAACCAGTCCCCATCCGCTCCTCAGCCCAGCAGCCACGCCGCCACGCCCCGGCGATTTCTCTTCTTCCTACGTGCGTGCGTGCGTGCCCCCAGCCCGCCTCCAGCCTTCACGCCGCCACCGACCAACGGGCGCCGGCACGATGTCCTCCTCCGGAGCCGACGCCTCCGACCTCGACGCCGCGCTCGCCCTCCTCTCCGGCCCGCAGCTCGTGGCGCACCTCCGCGCCACCTGCCGCAGGGCGGACTACAGCTGCGCCACCTGCCGCAACTGTGTTTTATTCAGCAAGTAGCTTTAACATACATATACGTTTAACTCACATGGATATTTGAAGGCAAGATCAAACATAAATCATTTAATTTGGTAGTCGTGAACATTGTAATTGTCCTAGTTGCCTGATTTGTATTTATGTTTGAGTAATGAGTAATGACTATTCATATTTGGATTGAGTTAATAATTTAATTCCAACTTGGATATGGACGTATGGTTGTATCCGTGAGGAATGGCCTTTGATTTGGTTATACCAGTCTTTACTTCAGTTCTTTAAGTTTCGGAACTATGTTCTGATGCCAATCCTAATTTTTTAAATGAGCTTATGCACATAGTAGTTTCTAATTTAATGTCTATGAGTAGATATCCTGTAATTTAGTCAGTCAACAGTGTGGTTTGCTGCTTATTCATGAATCTTAAAACTCTGCAAAGCATCTTTAGCCAACAGTGCATTTACCTTTTTGCTGTTTCTATCAATACTTTTGTTTTATCAAAATTCTGACATATGTGCATTGATTAAATTTTCTAGTAAAATTTTGATTCATCTTGGAAAAGCTTTGCCAAAGTTAATATATTTATTCATGGTGATCCGGTTATCAAAATTCAAAGCACAATATGATATTATGTGTCTTACAATGGCACAATACTTTGGCCATTGTCACGGTTTCTAAAGCTATACTCGTCTGAGGATGTTACTTTAGGGCGGCTGTGTTGGCAGAATTTCTTTTGGATGGCGACCTTCAGGGACCACTGAAAAGAACTGTTGAGGACCTAGCGAAGCATGATTCTACAGGGCATGATTTCCTTGAGAGAGTAGTATTGCGACGCTCTGAGCAGTTGTTCAGTATTTACAGGAACAAAGACGATAAATACTTCCGTTGAAAGCAGCAAAACTGTATCTGGTAAGGTTTGCACAACTTATCATATGGAAGGGGTTACTATGTTTTGTTCTGATAATGTGATGTATATAGCTCATGCTGAACCTAATCATCTTCATGGATTAGAACGCTAGCTATTGTAGAGGTTGCAGTAACTTTGTTTCTTGCATTGTGTTTAGAAAGATCATACTGAGTGAGCTCATAACTACCCATCGTATATGCACCCTTTATTTTCCATCTCACCCTGTATGTTAATGAGTCGATAAGAGATCTTATCTGGTGTTACCGTTTTACCAAACACGATAGCACCTAAACTGGTGCGTTAAAAAATACAAAAAAAGGATGGATAGAGGCAATCCACTATGTGCATGCAAAATTTTGAGTTTGAACAAAAACTTGTCGTAAGAGAAACAGGCACTTGAATAGTATGTGCTGCAGACTCAGAAAGAGTGTTGGAGAGAGGTTTCCTTTTCTTTTTCTGAAATCAGAATCAAGAGGATTTGTTGGTAATGGAAAATGGTAGCAGGAGTGACACTGTTTGTTGGAGCAGGATTCTGTGAGGAAACCTCTTATCCATTGATAATGTTTATCCTGTGGGTTACGTTCTTGGTTTTAGCGACTATTTCAGATTCGGATTATCATTCTGTGAGATTGTTTGGCTGTGCACGGTATAGTTCTGTGATCTGTTGTCCCTGGTACAGTTCACTTGGCGAAAACTTTTGAGGGCCTTGCGTTTAGAGCATCTCCAATAGTTCCCAATATTCTCCAATAAAATGATATTGGAGATCCCCCATAATCAAATTCAGGTTTATGGGGATGAGTGCTTCAGCAGTCCCCCAATAATTCATCCCAATAAGCTCTCTTTTTATTTCTCTCTATGTTTTTATGCATATAAACACTATGTATATTTCATTTTCACATCACAATACATTTGATCTTTATGTACTGCCAATCACAGTTCAAATGAACAAATTTCAAACTGAAACTCAAGGTCAAATGAAATTCGAACAGCATGCAGTTTACCACCAAATGATAACTGATATAAAGAAAAAATCTGTTTGAATGCAATAGCAGTGCATTAACCAACCGGCTTGCAAAAAAACACTGTATGGCAGTACCAGTGTTCACTTAAACTAGAGCACATACACCTCAAATTCAAATTCAGACATGACTTATGATCCACTACATAACTATGACATATGGTCAAAATGCATGCACATAGGTCATCAAGCACTCCTATTTTCACCCCCCCACTCACATTCAATAATTTGAGCACGCGTTGTTTCAACAAAGGCCTTTTGTGTTTCATCAAACCCACTAATGTCCATGAACATTATCTTGCATTCCTCTTCAATCTTTACTTTGCGCTCCTCCAAGGCCTTGATCTCCATCCATCTTGATTCCTTGTCTTGCTTCTTCCCAGCCTCCAACTCCTTCCTTGATGTAATCATCTCTTGCACTGCAGTTTGAAACAGAAGCATGATCTCCTCCCTTCACCCACTCCTTCTCTTGCTTCCTCCCCGGAGGCCTCTTGTTGGCGGGCATCGCAGATCTTAGAGTCGGACTTGCTGTCTCCTCGTCTTCCTCATTTCCTTGCACAGAGCTGAGCATGTGGACTTCTTCTTAAGTGGATGGCTGTCATTGTTCCTTTTCACCCACTTCTCATTGGTTTGGAGCAATGACCAACAATGCGCCATCACAAAGGTCTTGTGTTTTGGATCCCTCTGCTTGTACAACTCCTGGCAATACTTGATCTGTCAAATTATACAGTGATGAATGACAATCAGATAGGGGTCATCAGTCCAACAAATTCACTTATGCATAAGAAAATAGCTAGATGCTCAAAAAATAGATGTTTCACCATAATTGTAGCTCCTCAATTTGGTGATAATTTTTTTGACGCATATACTGTGGGGGAGATCCCCACAGTGAGATTTTGTATTAAAATTTAAATGATGGTTCAGCAGAGATTACAAACCTTAGCTAACTAAAGGCATCTAGCCAAAAGCAAAAGGATGACCTCAGGTCATCACTAAATCTAACAGATTGTAATAAACATTGACTTTTAAAATTAGCTAGCCAAGCCGCTGGGGTGGGATCCCTTCTCTGGAAAATTTTGTCATTGCGAAGCTTCCATAGCTCCCAAGCTGCAATGAGGGACGCTTCTGTGAAAAACTCCAGGCCGTGCACGTCTTCCCTTCCGCTTGAGTAAATCTTTCAGTTAGCGGTAGACTGGTGTCCCAAACAAAGTTGATAGAGCTCCAACACTGTCCAGCAAATGGACATTCAAAGAAGAGGTGGTCAATATCTTCTTTGATACCGTTGGTGATAATTTACTTACCCGATCCTGAATTGTCGCTCCACTTGGCGGGGCACAGTCAATCTCCTCGACACAACCTGCCCATCGGTTGCAACACTTTTGGATTGCACTCCAACAGTGCGCGCAAGTGAACCGAAGGAGCTGCTGGAGGGGGTCTTGACATTGCGGTGAAAGTGATCATAATGCGATTCCAATATGTGTTACTACTTTGATCAATCCCAATGATTGGATCAAGGCTCACACTCTCCCATGCCATGACCAAGGCCTCATCCTCCGGTATGGAGTAGTTTGCTGATCTTGCCCGTAAGGACTGATCACTGCATAAGGCACATAAGCATAAAATAAATTTCAGTGCAACAATCTTGTATGCTGATTGCTGACAATTGTATATATCTCCAAATTTCAGTACTGTATGCTGACAAACTGTATGCAACAGATCATATCAGAATCATGTCTAGGCAAAACTCTATGTTATCTGCTATCTGAAAGCTCCAACATGTATTCTGAACAAGAACATTCATGAACAAGATAGGCCTGAATAAATACAGCTTTCCTTGGAGTGACATATTAGTCTCCTTTCTATATTTTAGTGTGTATTCTCGTCTCACCAGGTTGCTAGAAAAACTAAAGAGATATGGTGCTGCCGGTGTCCTGTCATATGGACTACTTAACACCGTCTACTACGTCACTGCATTTTTAATAGTTTGGTAAGACGTGTCTGCATTGATGAAAGAAATCTTAGCCTTCATACTACCTTCAATTCTATAACTTCAAACTGTAAAGTAATCTTTGGTAACAAAGTAGGTAGCTTTTTTTTTATAAGTCGATGGGACAGGAGAGAATCCACCACCTGATAGATATATTAATCATGGTTGACTCTCAAATAGCCATGTAGTTTACAAAGTAGGTCGCTGAATTCATATAAGCAGCTGTTCCCGTTGGTGTAGTTTCACAAGGCACAAACATTACGGGCATTGGGTGGCAAATGAATTACAGTATGATTTACCTTTCAGGACACGAGCTGAAAGGTATAGAATTGACAGTTCAAATCAACAAATTTCAAACCGATTGTTCCATACATGCAAGAACAAGATAGCTTCGTTATTAACAGATTAAAGGGGAGAAAGGTCAAAGCTTTACCATGCACCGAACATGTCCACGCCGACCTCCTCCATGGATACGTCCACACCGTTGTTGAAGACGGTGGCTGCCGGCGGCAGGTCATACAGAGGTGGAGCATCCTTGGCTGCTGGGGAGGCGGACACCTTACTTTTTTTTTCGACAAGGGGATTCCCCATTTCCATTAAGATGATAACGGAAATACAAGTGTTTAGAATGTTTGCAGACGGGATCAGAAAACACCAGAGCAGAGCTTACCAACCCTACCAAACTGCCTACCATCCTTTGACCAAGCTAAGCGATAACCGAAGCAAAACCCAGCAAAAGTAACATCCATATACAGCCTAACCCATAACAATTCCAGACCTAACAGAATACTGGCCATTATTGCACCACTTCCACAAAAAGAGCTGGACTCCCACTGCCGGCAGCAATTAACAGTAGCAAAGACATCTCGTTAGTGTTGCTGCTCGTCATCTTCCTCATTCTGAGCATCAGCTGGTTGTTCCCCGACGTCTTCTTGCTCGCAAGCCTGATAGCGATTTGAAGCATTGCGTTAACACCGTCCTCCAGCGCCTTCCTGTCTTCACCTTCATACAGACCTTCCTTCTAGCGGGTTCCAACCTTCTGCGCCGCACCTTGGACCGCGTGCTGGCCTTGCCGCCGCCGCCGCCGCATCTCCTGCTGCGAGGGTGGAGGAGGGGGCCTCTGCGGCGCTTGAGGAGCCGGTGTGGGTGGGACGAGGTCCGGTGGCGGCGTTGGGACGAGGGCCGGTGGCGGCGGAATCCGTCGGGGGAGCACCGGATTTGGGGGTGGCTGCGACGGTCGTCGTTGGGGACCTCGAGTGGGAGGCGATGGAGGCCGATGGGGACCTCAGGGCGGCGGCTGGAGAGGAGGAGCTCGACGCGGCCGCCGGGGAGCGAGGCGGCGCGAGAGATTGGGGCCCGCGGCGGGACGTGAAGTGACATGCTCGCGCCAAAAGAACACGGGTATTGGGGCCTTGGGGGCAGGGTGCTCTCCCCGCTCTTTGAGGGGTCAGAAGACGACTTTTGAGGGGCTTTGAAATTTTTTCTCGTTGGGGATGATACTGGGAGACTGATGGAGCAACTCAAATCAAATCTCTAAAACAACAAAATTTTATCATTGGGGATAAAAAAAGGGAGACCGATGGAGATGCTCTCAAAATACAAAGGGTTTTACCGTCGATAGCACCCACGGGCCAGGAGTCTGTGAGGGAGGGGCAATTTGTTCGTGGCAATGGTGCTTCAATGTATGATGAACCCCACCCACACGGGAGGTTCTATTCTTCTTGGATGCCCATTACAGCATTCCTAGGATACCTTTAACTCCAGGTATCTTCCTAACAAAACAAGACCTCGATCCTATAATTCCTCCTGATTTATTGCTTTCTAAGAACGCAGTGGCAAAAATGAAGGAGTCCACAACATCTGATTTATCCTGTCGATTCGGACCCTCGATTTTGTAATCGAGTAATAGCCCTACATCCAGTCGACGTTAGCCTTTGCGTTGAATTGATTGTCCAGTTTTTTTCTCCAGGAACCCCGCCCTCCTTTATATAGTCAGGAGGCCAGAGTTCTAATCGGTTTACAATGAGAGTTCCTAGTAGGATTACAGAATAATACTACTACTAAGATTACATGGAAAGAATCCTAATTAAACTAGATCTTCTCCTTTCCTTGTGGGGTATCTCGTGGGTCTCGTATCGACAAACCCCCGAGCACTTCATGGTTGAGCTCTGGAAGCCTCATCTTGTTCCTTTAGGTCTTTTTTTTTCTTTGAGTAGGAACAAGCGTCGTCAGAAAACACCAGAGCAGAGCTTTGCTTCCTTGAGTGAAACCGTAAGCAAAACCCAGCAAAAGCTTCCATATACAGATCTTCCAGAGTGGTGTGTGTGCTTTTTGAAGAAAAACAGTACACATCCCTGCTCGTCATCTTCCTCATTCTGAGCATCAGCTGGTTGTTCCCCGACGTCTTCTTGCTCGCAAGCCTGATAGCGATTTGAAGCATTGCGTTAACACCGTCCTCCAGCGCCTTCCTGTCTTCACCTTCATACAGACCTTCCTTCTAGCGATATTTTACCGGTGTGGGTGGGACGAGGTCCGGTAGCGGCGGAATCCGTCGCACCGGATTGGGGGTACCGGTCGTCGTTGGGGACCTCGAGTGGGAGGCGATGGAGGCCGATGGGGACCTCAGGGCGGCGGCTGGAGAGGAGGAGCTCGACGTTCGAGGCGGCGCGAGAGATTGGGCCCGCGGCAGGACGCGAAGTGACATGCTCGCGCCAAAAGAACACGGGTATTGGGGCCTTGGGGCAGGTGCTGAGGGGTCCTTGGGGCAGGTGCCTCCCTATCTGAGGGGTCAGAAGACGACTTTTGAGGGGCTTTGAAAAAATTTTCTCGTTGGGGATGATACTGGGAGACTGATGGAGCAACTCAAATCAAATCTCTAAAAACAACAAGATTTTATCATTGGGGATAAAAAAGGGAGACCGAGAGATGCTCTCAAAATGCATTTATCCTGGTTCGGACCTCGATTGTGATCAAGCAATAGCCCTTTATCGTCCGATTGGCGTTAGCCTTTGCGTTAGCCTTTGCGTTGATTGATTGATTGGTCTTTTTTTCCTCCAGAACCCAGCCCTCCTTTATATAGTCGAGGCCGTGTCGTCTTCATAATCGGTTTCCTTGATGAGAGTTTCTAGTAGGATTACTTCGAGTGGTGTAATACTACTACTAAGATTATATGGAAAGAATCCTAGTTAGACTAGATCTTCTCCCTTCCTTGTGGGGTATTCCGTGGGTCCCAGTGTCGACAAGCCCCTTTATATAGAGCACTTCATGGTTGACCTCTGAAGCCTCGTCTTGTTCCTTTGAGGTTTTTCTTGAGCGGGTTGAACAAGGGTCGTCCTTGAAACAAGTGCTTTTCTTGAGTGAAACCGTGTAGCGTTTTTGGGATCTTCGAGTGGTGTGTGCTTTTTTAAAGAAAAAGTACACCCATCTAGGTGTAGCCCCCGAGTCTCTTGCTATTTGGAACAAGGAGCTGGAGGGTCTTGCACTACCGGAGACCGGCTCTTTGCCAAGTGCCAGGTGGTTTGCCGAGTGTTGTTTTTCGGGCACTCGGCAAAGCCGCCTTTGCCGAGTGTTTTTTTTGACACTCGGCAAAGAAAATTTCAAAGCATATTTTGAAGCAGTAAATTAATTTAAATGAAAAAGTTTTCAACTACAAAGTTGTATAACTCATCAAGATGTACAATATTTGTTTTGGTCTTTTCTTCATATGACAAAGTGAAAGTAAATTTGTTCATAAATCTAACATATCTCTCTTGTAGTTTATGAAACTACAAGAGAGATATATAAGATTTGTGAACAATGTTAGAATGACCATGTCGGATGAACAGATGATCAAACAACCAAAATAAACTTTGTAGATCTCGAAAAGTTATTAAACTTTGTAATTGACAACTTTTTGATTTGAAATCATCTTGTCATGCAAAACTACGTTTGAATTTCAAAATTTTAAAATTCAAATTTTATAAACGACCTCGGATGGGAAAACTTCCTAAACTAAAAGTGTAGATCTCGAAAAGTTATGAAACTTTGTAGTTTACAACTTTTTTATTTGAATTCGTTTAGGACCTCAAACATGTAATTTACACTTGGAAAAAAAACTTCTTTGCCGAGTGTTTTTTAGCTCGGCAAAGAAGCTTCTTTGCCGAGTGTTTTTTTTGACACTCGGCAAAGAGCTTTTTTGCCGAGTGTTTTTTTGACACTCGGCAAAGAAAATTTCAAAGCACATTTTGAAATAGTAAATTAATTCAAATGAAATAGTTTTCAACTACAAAGTTGTATAACTCATCAAGATGTATAATGTTTGTTTTGGTATTTTCTTCATACGACAAAGTGAAAATAAATTTGTTCACAAATCTAATATATCTCTCTTGTAGTTTATAAAACTACAAGAGAGATATATAAGATTTGTGAACAATGTTAGAACGACCATGTCGGATGAACAGATGACCAAACAACCAAAATAAACTTTGTAGATCTCGAAAAGTTATGAAACTTTGTAATTGGCAACTTTTTGATTTGAAAACATCTTGTCATGCAAAACTGCATTTGAATTTCAAAATTTTAAAATTCGAACTTTTCAAACGACCTCGGATGAAAAAACAACCAAAATAAACTCTGTAGATCTCAAAAAGTTATGAAACATTGTAGTTGACAAATTTTTGATTTGAAAACATCTTGTCATGCAAAACTGCGTTTGAATTTCAAAATTTTAAAATTCAAATTTTGTAAACGACCTCGGATGAAAAAACTTCCTAAACTAAAAGTGTAGATCTCGAAAAGTTATGAAACTTTGTAGTTTACAACTTTTTTATTTAAATTCGTTTAATATAATATATTGGGAACTAAAACGGAATGCAGACACAAGTGAGAGTGTGATGTAGTGATAGAGCAGGTACGTGCACAGCGGGAGGTCTCGGGTTCGAATCGCGTCAGCCGCGTAGCCATGAAATTCATGCGAAAAATGTCGGAGATGGGTGGGTGCTGGCCGGTGGGGGCCTCCATCGATAAAAAAAATTCCATTTTTTGGGTAAAAATTCCCATTTTTTTGGGTTTTTTTCGGTTTCAGCTTTGCCGAATGTCGGCACTCGGCAAAGGCTTTGCCGAGTGCCCAACAAAAGACACTCGGCAAAGACACCTTTGCCGACGGTTTATTTGTCGAGTGTTCTTTGCCGAGTGCAGCACTCGGCAAAACCTTTGCCGAGTGCAAATTGGGCTTTGCCGTGTGCCCCTGGCACTCGGCAAAGCCACTGATTCCCGTAGTGTTGTCTTGAAATTGCTCTGATTTTTCATCGAAGGGCTCTTGAGCATATACCCGGGTTATTTATCAAAAAGAACTCGGTTATAGCTCGGTCCGGGTTCTTTTTGTCGTGAGGCCTTGAAGTGGTCTATCTTGAAGAAGTCTTCTTGGTGACGTGTGCTTTTTCGAAGAAGAAAAAAGTGCACTCACTGAGTGTAACCCCCCGAGCCTCTTGCTATTTGGAGCAAAAAGCCGTCTTGAATCTTATGTTGTTTGAAAACTGCTGTCTTGAGGAATTCTTCTTAGTAATGTGCGCTTTTTTGAAAAAAAAGTGCACTCACTGAGTATAGCCCCCGAGCCTCTTGCTATTTGGAACAAAGAGTTGGAGGGTTTTAAATCTGAGTTGTTCAAAGAACCGAAAAGCTCTCACGTTGCAGTCCCCGAGCATATATCCGGGTTCTTTTATTCAGAAAGAACTCGGATACAAGGTCTTGGCATATTATCTAGTAGTCTGCTATTGTCAGATATAGTTGTATGGTGGTGATTGAGTGTAAATGCTGTTTGTTCATGAGTTGTACAGTGTTGGTATATTTTTCCGAATATGCTCGTTCTTGAGTACTGTTCCTTCACGCCTGAGTCCTCTTTTATTGAATTCTGTCTTTTCACTGTGTCCTTTGTTAGGTTTGTTCCATTGGTGCTCCCGGTCCATGTGCACCGCTTCTTTGGTCTATAAATACCCTCCAGGAGTGCTATTTTGATTCATCGAGCATTTTGTTGCGTGGTCTGAAGTCTTCGTAGTCATGAATATGATAGTTTGTGAAGTAGAGCAGCCCCCGGGCGTATTTTGTAGTTCTTGTATATCTTGTCGACTGAGGATCAGTTGCGCGATCTTGTCAGTGATGGTCTAATCCAGGGCAAGGAGTTTGCTGATTGGAAAGCTCCAGGCCAGCATCGGGTCCCAACTCCAGGTCCTGGTGAGATTGTTTTTTTGTCTCCTTTATCCGTACTGGACTCTGCCTTTCTGCTTCTGCTTTTCTTCATCGATTTCTCAGTTATTTTGGGATTAGCTTGAACCATCTTGCCCCCAATGCTGTCCTTCGTCTTTCTATTTTTGTTTATATTTGTGAAACTTTTCTTAGAATTCCTT